CGGCGCCGCCCCGCCCCGCCCCGCCCCGCGCCGCGGAAGAAGTGCGCTCGCGGCCGCCCCCGCGCGTCGGAAGCGCTTCCGGCTCCCCTCCACTCCACTCCACCCTCCTCCACACCACTCCACGCCTCTCCCCCGCGCGACAGCTGCCGTCTCGTCTGCGAAGTGGCACCGCTCGCGACACGTGGCGCCCCGGCCTCCGCCATCCACCCTCGCTCTCAGCCCGATTTCGCCCGGGCATTGTCTCAGCGACTCGCCAACTGTCGTCGCCTTAGTCGGGGAATCTCTCCGGGATGAACTTTATCCGAATGACAAACGAGACTGCTTTGATTTTCGTTTCCGTGAATTATTGGCCGAAGTAGTCAAGATCTCACATGACACATTTCACACATAACATTATTTCGAATAGAGACATTGGACACAACCAAAGCTGCTTCAACTGCCAGCTACGTTCCAAGTTTTTATTATGAAAAGTCGACAAATTGGAGTAGCTCGAGTTTTTTGCGTGAGAAAAGATCGAATTTTTAATCCTTAATATTAGGTATCGAACCCTGTTCTTTGAGAAAGTTAGAGGTGCTCAACCATGGCTTATTGCAGAGGGACGTGAATTCTATAGCCATTATTTTTGTTAACAGATTTTTTGTTCAAATTCAATCATAACTTATAAGGACTAATTTCAGAGAAAGATTAATCGCGAATATTCTGTTTACTGGAGGTTGAAAAATAAATGCGTCAAATTGGAATGGCAGAAGAATTACATCTTAAAACCTCTTAAGTTAATCAAGAACATTATAAGCCGGAACGAACTGTATAAGATATACAGTATAAAGTATTTCGTTCTATAGTTTCATGGTTTAGGTCTTACTGATTCGTATGAGGGAAAGTTCCTATTAGGAAAATTCAGCGAATCGCTTTAATTCACCAAAATTGGGTGACTCTTATTGTCAAATCTCTTTTTCCAATTGAAAGGTATCTTTCAGTTTGAAACCCCCAAAACTTTGCTCGTCTTATATTCATTCTTATAATAAACTAGTGATACAGAATGGCACATGAATGACTTTTTCATAGCAGTTAGTTTACTATTCTCATCGACGTCTAAAAGACTACCAGTGCCTCTCGAGGAAACCCCGCTCCTTTTGGAGGAAACCAAGGGCAACTTCTGACACCCTGAATATCTTAAAGATCTATCATCGTCCTCTACATATTTGTCCATGCTATTCCTTGGCTTCATTTCTCTGTTAGTATCATTGTTCTGGTACAACGTTTGGACGCCCTCCCCCTCTTAATTAAAACTGGAAACATTGGTCTCACATGGGTGTCACACCCATAATCTTAGTATCCATGAACTTTGCCTCAACTGCCCCGAACCCCTGTCTCAGGAGGCCAATCACTCGCCCTTGCTAATTGTATACGTTTTATGGTTTGAAATATAATAATTTGGTAAAACGAATAATACAACTAAAACTGATCTTTGTACGCACACGCCGCCTTTAATGTGCTACGGTGTTATTTTAGCATTAAAATCTTACAACAACGCGTTCAGTACTAAACATTTTTATCAAACTGCGCTAACTCTGCAAAAAAGTTGTAGAATATAATACATGTATTTCTAGCACGTATCAGTTAACGCACGGGTTAGTTCACTTTCTTTCATATTTATATTGAGGAAATTGTGTTTTATCAAAAAATGCATATCTTTTTTCTCATTTTCGGCCTTCTAATAGTATTATGGAAAATCGACTTCAAGGATGTTATATAAAAATAAAACCGTTTTTATACAAATTTTCATTGAAAAATGAAAATCCTTTCTGAGAAATTATTGTTTTCAAAACCTTTTTGAGTTTTCGAAAAAATTCACAAAGACCACATTTGAAGCGCTTGTTCTTGCAAATGCAATAATGAATTAAAAAAACCCTTAAAGTAAATATTAACGAAGTGGCAGATATATAGAAAAAAATTACATTCGTGAAAAATCAAAAGAGAACATCAAAATAAAGCTTATGTCATGTTATTCAATATATTTAACACTATCCATACTGTAAATATAAAAAAATAGTTGGCAGTTTATAAGAAAATCTTGTTTTTTATGTTTAAAAATTACCTATTTCACTCACAATTGCTCTAAAAGTACTAATATTTTTAAAAATAGACATGGCATCAATTAAAAACCTGATTGTGGGAAACATATTTTACTAGAAAAATATTTCTAACTTCAGTAATGTAGTATTAAGAAGTCGTCGAAGAAATTTCAATGTTTTATAATTTTCGAAAATTTGAATTTTGAAATAGTTAAAATCGGATGTATGGCATGTTTATAAATGTATTTTACTCTATTTCTATAAGAAGTGTAAAGAAAAAAATGAAGCAATTTTTGAGAATAGTTTGAAAATGTACCAAGGGTTTTATGTAAAGTACTCTCAAAATTCAAAGAAAAATTATAAAAATCTCAGAACTCAAGTCGGGCCAGCTCAATCATTTCTTCGGTGTTAAGGGACGCCAAAACGAGTATTTCCGTTAAAATTTCAAAAAAAAATCCATAGTATTGTTTTTTCTGTTCTACGTATATTACTTCGTTTTAGTATACGTATACGAGAAAGTAAACGAAAATCACTTTGTAATCTTCTAGAATTGTGAAGACGTAAAATAAATGCTCTCCGTTTGGCAGCAGAGAGACACTTGTCATAAGAGTAAAATTAATTCTGATAACAAATACACCTTTTTTATTTTATTTTTAAAAAATGATACGAAGACAGGAGTGTTCGCTGATAACGGGGAGGCCGCAGAGGTGTCGATTATCGCGCCGACCAGCGTCCGTCCGCCTTGGCACCATACAACGCAACCCGGGGATGGTGAGGGGGGGGGGCGACGCACCACCCAGCGTGGTCCTTCAATCCCACTCCTGCGCTCTCATTAGCGAGAGGCGCGCTCACGATTCTGGCGGGCCTGCGCCGGCCTAACGAGCCTCAGCGGCGATCCGCGAGCGGAAGACTAATTGGACATGAGACAAAGACGCTGCGCCATCTGCCACCGTCCAATTACCACGACACCCCCCGCGCCCCCCCCCCGCCCCGAATCACTCTGTAGTCCGTGCCCCTTTCCTCACGCACGCCCTACGCCACACGCCCCACGCCCCACTCCCACGCCCCTTGCGAGCGCCGTCTTGAGCTCGAGACGCCTCCCTGGGGCGGCGGGGCGGACCAGGGCAGAATTCGCACTTACTTTTTTTTATGAAAACCAACCGAAATTAGTACGATGCTTGCCACAGGGGATGCTCTCTCGTTTCTCACTTGCGTCTGTCTTTCTAGAGACTCGAGCACGTTTGTTTTTTCTTGCGTGGGAAGAAGAGGACGACGGTGCTTCAGGTGGGTTTTGTCAGGGCGAGGTGTTAAAGTAAATAGCCGCATACATAAATCTTCGGCGTTCGTTGGTGCCCGCGGAGCCGGTGAAACAGTCCGCGCGATGTGGGAGGTGGCGAGGCGGCAGTCCATTGAATTTAGCGAGAGGTGCCATTCTCAAAAACTCCACTCTCGTATTTCAAACCCGTCGCCAGAAAGCTTCTTTTGAGGTGCGTTTCGGACACTGCACACCCCCTTCGTTTTAACACGTAGGTATATCAAGCGAGTCTAGAGAAGGGAACATAGTGTGAAAATGCACACGAGTAAGAGAAAATAAATTGCTACTTCATCTCACCCGCTGTAAAAGGACCAGGCGGATCAGAACCGGAATAGAGACTGAATAGATTTGGAGATGTGAAAGAGCATTTTGCCATTTACGAATTTCGCCAACGGCCAAAACGAGTTGGATCGTACGAAGGGTCATTTAAACACCGCGATATTAGGGAGGGCTGAGCGTGCGTGGCAGAATTGTTGGAAAGGTTGGGAGGGGGGAAAGGCAGAAATG